GCAGAAAGAGGTGGCGGGATGCATACGACTCTCTCTGGGTGAGGAAAGAGGAAAGTTAGATTCCAGGGCCAAGGCTGCTTCTCTTTCTACCTGATGAAGAGGCAATGAGAGAAAGGACGGGCTGGCCCAGGAAGCTGGAGAACTGCTTCTGACTCCCAGTCTACCTCTGCCGCTGTGTGTCCGCAAGGAAGCCCCTTCCCCTCTCTGGGCCTCAGTCTCTCCACCTGTGAAAATGAGAGGTTCACCAGGGGTGATGGCTCACGCCTGTAATCTCAACACTTTGGGAGGCTGAGGTGGGCGGATCACTTGAGGTCAGGAATTCAAGATCAGCCTGGCCGACATGGTGAAACCCCATCTCTACGAAAAATACAACAATTAGCCAGGCATGATGGCACATGCCTGTAATCCCAGCTACTCAGGAGGCTGAGACAGGAGAACCGCTTGAACCTGGGAGGCAGAGGTTGCAGTGGGCTAAGATCATGTCACCTGTACTCCAGCCTGGGAGATAAGAGCGAAACTTCATCTCAAAAAAAAAAAAAAAAAAAAAGAGATTATTAAACAAGTTTTCTTTGATGTGTGAGATTCAGGTCTGCAAGATGGGGGCAACAGCCTTAACCACCTCACTGGAGAACGAGAGATGAAATGCCAGCGCAAGCCCTTAGCGCCATGCCTGCCATGCAGCCAGGACTTAGCCCATGGTGGCTTTGCCATTACACTGATTCCAATATTAGATTCTATGTGTTGAGCTGCTACCCTGATGTCCAGCAACCCAAGTCTCAGACCACTGTGCAATCCAGCCTTTCTCTCCAAGGGAGTCCAGGAGGATCAGATATTATTATTCTTCCCTCACTTCTGTTAAAAAAAATAAATAAAGTGACACAATCGCTTTGTGATGAAATCTATGACAACTCCTGAGACTGCCTGGCCCTGGAAATGTAAGCTCCAGGGGGTGCGGACAGAAAATGCCCCAAACTCAGAGTCCAGTGACTGAAGCACTGTTCTCAGGCCAACCTTGCCACTCCCTTGGGGGCCACTTGGCTGTCTCTGCTAAACAAAGTATTAGCGAAGGCCTCGCCTGCCTGAAAGCAGAGGCTGGCCGGGTCACCCATGGAGAGCCCTGTCAGCTCCACGATATGGAATTAAAATGCTTTGGATACAGTAGGCCCAAACACACTCTTTGGAGCCTTAAAGCAGCGCTCCTCTGAGTAGAAAGCACTCAGGAATCGCCTGGGTTCCGTGCAGATCCCAATCAGCGGGTCTGGGCGGGAGCTGAGACTCTGTATTCCTCACAAACCTCCCAGCAGTGCCGATGCTGCTGGGTCCACGGACCACACTGAAAGTAGTAAGGGCTTAGAGGCTTTTTTAAAAATGGTAAAGAAAATGTATTATGCTCATAACAAGAATCCCCAAGGTAGGGTGACCCACGTGTCCTGCCACCCTGACAGGCACTGACTGCACTAAATACACGTGCATGACCAAGCATGCATGAGAAAGCAGTTCATCCACCCCGCTGCCTGGGCTTTGAGCAAGCCTCAGTACCCTACTCTTTTAGGGTCCCTGACTACCACCTGCCCTGAAAAGGTCACTGGAGACAAACGCCAGGATTCCTGAGACAGAGTCCCAGTCCCCTTGCAGCTGGCACCAGACCACCAGAATCTGAGGGCTGAGACGTCACTTCTGAACCCTGTCTCTTCTATCCTCTGTACCTGGTCTGCAGCAGTTCTGCAACATGAAGAATGGTTCCGGGGGCAGCCCCTCACCCCTGCTCTCTGCTCTCCTTGCTGAGGCCAGCCATCTGCATACCTCCCCAGGTGAAATCCATCCCACTCTCCCTCCTCAGGCTTCCAACTGGCCCAAAGCCCGCCCACTGCACTGCTACCCTGCTGACCTTCCCCTGCGGCTCCTTCCCACTATGAAATTCTGCTCTTCCTCCTCCTCCTTCCACTAGGAGGGTTCCAGTGGGAAGCCAAGCAAAAGTTTCCCTATTACAGGGTTTGGAGGATGCTGGGGATTTCTTCTACGTTGTGTTTCCTCCCTGCTTGCTATCAGAATAAACATCAGAGGTCACGGCATCAAAGCTTCTCTACAGTTTAGAGAATAGAAGAAGCCACTTATGCAATAATAGGGGAGCCCTGGCAGAGAGGAGCTGGTGGGAAGAAGTTGGATGAGAGCTGTGGGGGTAGGAAGGGGCTCAGGAGGTTGCCCGCATAGTGGCTTAATGCAGGCATCCTGGAGTGGTAGAGAGCAGTGGTCCCCAACCTTTTTGGCACTACGGACCAGTCTTGGGGAAGACAGTTTTACCATGGACCAGTGGAGGGGTTGGGGGGATGGTTTCAGGATGATTCAAGCACATTACATTTATTGTGCACTTTTTTTTTTTTTGAGACGGAGTCTTGCTCTGTCACCCAGGCTGGAGTGCAGTGGCGCAATCTCAGATCACTGCAAGTTCCGCCTCCTGGGTTCACGCTATTCTCCTGCCTCAGCCTCCCGAGTAGCTGGGACTACAGGTGCCTGCCACCAAGCCCGGCTAATTTTTTGTATTTTTAGTAGAGACGGGGTTTCACCGTGTTAGCCAGGATGGCCTCGATCTCTGGACCTCGTGATCCGCCCACCTCGGCCTCCCAAAGTGCTGGGATTATAGGTGTGAGCCACCGTGCCCGGCCTATCGTGCACTTTATTTCTATTATTATTACACTGTAATATATAATGAAATAATTATACAACTCACCAAAATGTAGAATCAATGGGAGCCCTGAGCTTGTTTTCCTGCAACTAGACGGTCCTATCTGAGGGTGATGGGAGACAGTGACAGATCATAAGGTATTAGACTCTCATAAGGAGCACGCAACCTAGATCCCTTGCGTGCGCAGTTCACAAGAGTTCGCGCTCCTGCAAGAATCTGATGCGGCTGCTGATCTGAGAGGAGGTGGAGCTTAGGCAGTCATGCGAGCAAAGGGGAGCGGCTGAAAATACAGATGAAGCTCCATTCGCTTGCCCACCGCTCACTTCCTGCTTTTGTGGCCCAGTTTCTAACAGGCCATGAACTGGTACCAGTCCGTGGCCTGGGGGCTTGGGGAATCCTGGTATAGAGGGCTGAAGAGTGCACCGCACCCACTACCACCACCACAAAAAAGATACATCTGTGTCCCAGAACCTACGTATGTGACCTTATTTGGAAAAAGAGTCTTTGCAGATATAATTAAGTTAAAAATCTCAAAATGAGATTACCCTACACAAGAGTCCTCATAAAAGACACTCAGAGGAGAGGAACAGGGGAAGGATGAGGCCATAGGAAGAAGAAGGCAAAGACTGAAGTGAGGCAGCCACAAGCCAAGGCACACCTGGAGTCAACAGAAACTGGAAGAGGCACAGTGGATCCTCCCCAGCAGCCTTCAGAGGGGGTGTGATCCACTGATGCCTTGATTCCAGACTCCTTGGCTAGTGAAGCCAGTGAGAGGTGCTGCCACCTGGGGCTGGGTCCCCCATGGCCTTTTGACTTCAGGAAGGAAAGGAACCTAATGTCATTGGTGTGCTGGTGAGCCCTTCATTCATGCCAGGACCACGTGATGCTTCTGAGAATTTATCTCACTTATTCCTCACAATAGGCCCACGGTTTTACCTCCTCAGTAACTCTCGAATCTGGCTCCTTCCCCTCTCCACCCAGGCCGCTGGTCTGAGCCACTGTGAGGCAAGAGATTCCTGTTGCTTTAAGCTGCCCAGTTTGTGGGAATTTGTTACAGCAGTCCTAAGAAGCCAACACAGGGAGTCCCACACTGCCGTGTGCTGAGCAACCTTGGGTAAACTGCCTAACCTCTCTGAACTGACTTCCTGATTCATACAATGGGGCCATAGATCTATTTCATTTATTCATTGAACAGATATTTACCAAGTATTTGTGATGTGTCAGGTGCTGGGTCAGGCCCTGGAAGTGAACAAAACCAGACACAGACCCTGCCCAAATGGTGCCTTGTGGTCTCCTGGGAAGCCAGTTACTAATCCAAGAATCACGTAACTAGGGGCACAGCTGTGACCATGGTCCATGGGGTGCTGGGAGCGTGCAAGTCAGGAGACCTGGAAGGCTTCCACTGGGAGGTGATGACTGAGTGAAGGGATGAAGGAAAGGTCAAAAGTGAGTAGGCAAAGAGGGGTAAGAGGAGATTTCCAGCCAGAGGAAGGGTGTGTGCAAAGATGCTGCTGTACACAAAGCACATGTGCCCAGGGGTGCATGCAAAGCTGCAAAGCACACGTGCCCAGGGGTGCGTGCAAAGCCGCAAAGCACATGCGCTCAGGGGTCTGTGCAAAGCTGCAAAGCACACGCGCTCAGGGGTCTGTGCAAAGCTGCAAAGCACACGCGCTCAGGGGTCTGTGCAAAGCCGCAAAGCACACGTGCTCAGGGGTCTGTGCAAAGCCACAAAGCATACGTGCTAAGGGAGCTGCCGGAGGCCGGTGTGGCAGGAGCCCCACTGCAGGGGGACTGAAAGCAGAAGTGAGGCTGGAGCAGGACAAGGGCCAGCCCACTAGGGCCTGAGAGCCACACCAGAGGGGCTGACTTTTTCTCCTGAGTGCAGTTAGCAAGGAGGTGGCGTGGTCATGTGGGTCTTTGAAAAGAACACTCTAGCTGCAGAGTGGGGAGAAAACTGCTGGCCAGAGGCGTGGTAGGAAGGCCAGTAAGAAGGCCCTGCTGTTATCCAGGAGGGGCAACAGTGGCTCAGACCAGCGGCCTGGGTGGAGAGGGGAAGGAGCCAGATTCGAGAGTTACTGAGGAGGTAAAACCGTGGGCCTATTGCGAGGAATAAGTGAAATAAACTCTGAGAAGCATCACGCGGTCCTGGCATGAATGAAGGGCTCACCAGCTCACCAATGACATCAGGTTCCTTTCCTTCCTGAAGTCAAAAGGCCACGGGGGACCCGGCCCCAGGTGGCAGCACCTCTTACTGGCTTTGCTAGCCAAGGGTGAAGAGGGGTACCCACCATTTACAGAGCTTAGAAAATCAACTTACCATCCTTGAGTGAGATGCTCAGAAGGTCCTGAGGGAGAAGACAACAGGCATCAGTGACAAAGCTGATATACGATCAGCCCGCTCATTTGACAAATATTGACTCTTACCAAGTGGCAGAACAAGACAGACAAAAAGCCACTGCTCTGGATTCCAGAGGTGAGCCGGATAAGCAGGCAAGCGAAGAAAGAAATACATGAGGACTTCAGGTAGTGAGATAAGGAGGGGAAGGGACTATTTCAAATCCATGTACTTTCCCCACCAACAGTCTGTGTTACAAGCTTCTATCTGCTTTAATTGCAGGCAGAGCTGGTGAGTGACATGATCAAGGGCACACAGGGAAGCTTCTGCTTCTGAAAAGAGGCACCACGGCTTAGGAGAATGTGGGCTCTGAGTCAGACTACCGAGGTTCAAATCCTGGCTCCACCACTTATCAGCTGTGTGACCTTGGGCAAGTTACTTAACCTCTCTGTGTCTCAGTTTTCTCAACTACTATGAAATGGGGATGGCCCTGCTACTTACCTCATAAAGTCACTTTGAGAATTAGATGAGTTAGTTTTTGAAAAGGTACCAGCACATAATAAGCATTGTATGAGCATAAAGTCAAGAGTAAATATTCAATAATGATAATTCAACATCAGCTATGATCATGATATGATATTATGATGACATATTTTATCTTCCAACTGCTCCACCCCATAGAACTGATTTTTTTAGGCTAACATTGAAAGAAAATGATTTGTTCTACTGTCCCCAGCAGCCACCACCAGGTGTTGGGTGTACCTGAATGATCACCGTCGGGTCGTCCTTCAAGATGGGGTCCTTCAGTAAAATCTGAACAAACACATCCGCTCCTTCACCTCCCAGGCCGCTCGCAAAAGCAGTCATGGTTGGCAAGACAGCTTCGGACAACTCCAGCCACTTCACCAGGCCTACCATGAACTCTGTGCAGAAGGAGCTGAAAGGCAGACATGGTCTTAGTTCCCCAGGATCCTCAGAGCTCAGCCTCCACTGGGAAGTATAGATTAGTTGTGGCCACGGATGTGAACGGCTGGCACGTGCACAACTTAGTGACTGTGATCCCTCAAATACACAGGCAGTCAAAGACCTCATCTCGGGTGATGTGAATTTGTTTTTTGTTTTTGTTTTGAGATGGAGTTTCACTCTTGTTGCCCAGGCTGGAGTTCAGTGGCACAATCTCAGCTCACCCCAACTTCCACCTCCCGGGTTCAAGCGATTCTCCTGCCTCAGCCTCCCGAGTAGCTGGAACTACAGAGGTCATTGTAGGGAGATTTATTTATTTGTTTTTCAGACAGGGTCTCGCTCTGTCACCCAGGCTGGAGTGCAATGGCGCAATCACGGCTCACTGCAGCCTCAACCTCACAGGCTCAAGTGATTCTCCCACTTCAGCCTCCTGAGAAGCTGGGATTACAGACACACACCACCATGCTGGGCTAATTTTTCGCTATTTTTTTTTTTTTTTTGTTTTGAGATGGAGTTTTGCTCTTGTTGCCCAGGCTGGAGTGCAATGGCACAGTCTCAGCTCCCTGCAACCTGTGCCTTCCAGGTTCAAGCGATTCTCCTACCTCAGCCTCCCGAGTAGCTGGGATTATAGGCATGTGCCACCACACCTGGCTAATTTTGTATTTTTAGTAAAGACAGGATTTCACCATGTTGGCCAGGCTGGTCTTGAACTCCTGACCTCAGGTGATCCACCCACCTCGGCCTCCCAAAGTGCTGGGATTACAAGCCTGATCCACTGTGCCCGGCCCGGGTGATGTGGATTTTGGTTTCTTCTGTCACCAAAACTTTTATCAAAGAGGCTGATAAGCCACAGCAATGAGAACAATGGATGGTGACTGGTTGCATGCCTTGGGCCTGGGCTGTGCCAGGGGCTGAGGAATAAAGGTGACAAAACCCGGTATCTGAGGAAGTTCACAGCAGGGTGGACACTCAAGTAACCAAGTGACCCGAGTGCTGTGTGGTACCCTAGGACAGAAGTGGAGATCAGTTCAATGCAGCCCACAGAGGGAGCCTTGAATCCACCTGCAGAAGTGACGGCAGCCACCAGAAAAGGCTTCCCAGAGGAGGCCATCTGGTCTCCTGGACGCTGCCAAGGACATGCTTTCTGGAAAACGCTGACTGCTGTGGAAGTGGAAAAAGTGAAGGGAAGACTGCCCTCCACGTGCACTGCCACCGCCGGTCTCTGTCCATAGCGGGCATTTGAGTGCAGTCCTTACAGGAGCCCCCAGGGGAAGAAGGGATGGGGCCCCTCTAGGGGAGAAGGAAGCCTTTGAGCTGAGACACAGAGGTGGGGAGCCCAGAGCATTTGCGGGGACGATGGCAGAGTCCACACCAGACTTCTGACACAGCCACCTCAGTGGAGCGGGAGTCAGCTGGGTGGCAGGTGGGCCAGGAAATGTGGGCCAGGAGAGTCACTTAGAAGGCGATTATACCACTCCCAGGAAAAGACTGACAATCAGAAACCAGGTCTGTCTCTAAAATCAGAGTCCCAGCTTGCCTCAAACCACATTGCCTTGGGACTCCAACACTGGGTTCTGCCCTGTAGGGCAGAGGCTGCACTCAGGCCTCTCAGAAACATGCAGAGCTCCCGGGTGGTGGGGGCAATGTCAGGAGCCCCCTGCCCTTTCACCACGTGGCCCAGCTATCACATTCCTTAGCGTGGGGCCAGGACCTTGATGGGAGTTGTGAGGAACTTGGGTGTAAATCCCAGCCTTGGCCAGGCACAGTGGCTCACGCCTGTAATCCCAACGCTTAGCGAAGTGGGGCCAGGTGGATCACCTGAGGTCAGGAGTTTCAGACCAGCCTGGCCAACATGGTGAAATCCCATCTCTACTGAAAGTACAAAAATTAGCTGGGCATGGTGGCATGTACCTGCAGTCCCTGCTATTCAGGAGGCTGAGGCACAAGAATCGCTTGAACCCAGGGGCGGAGGCTGCAGTGAATTGAGATCACACCACTGCACTCCAGCCTGGGTAACAGAGTGAGACTCTGTCTGAAAAATAAATAAAAACAAAAAATAAAATAAAATAAGTATAAATAAAAATAAAATAATAAGTATAAATTTAAAAAATTAAGTATAAATAAATATAAAAAAATAAAGTATAAATAAAAATAAAAAAATAAAATAAGTCCTGGCCTCACCACTGGTCGGGTTCCTGAGAAGCTGCCCTGAAATGGAGATGATTAGGGTTCCCCTTAGGATCAATACCTTGAGGAGGGAAGGGAGGAAGCAGGGCTGGGCAGAGGGAGCAGCTGAGCTGTGATACAGTCTCAAGGGAGGTCTCAGCAGCCCCTGCAGGGAGTTCTAAAGATGGGATGACCCTTCAGAACTGCCCCCAGTGGGGTGAGAGGGCCAGGCCTTTACAGCTGTGCATCAGCCAGTTACCGGATGCAGGTGCCCCCGGGAGGGGACAGAACCTCAAGCAAGGTGGCTCCCTTCAGCTGAGGCAGGCCCAAAAAGGTACAGACAGCTCAGGGCTGTGCTGGCAGCCTTGCCAGCAGCTAGGGGTGAAAGTCCTTCATTCTTGAAGGGGAATCTTAGCAGACAGCATCTTGGGACAGTGTAATGACCTCTCTGTGCCTCAGTATCCTTATCTGCAAAATGGGTTCAAGAGACCAACTTCACAAGGTTGGTTGAGGGTGAAGTGAGATGATAAATATAAAGTGCCCAAAATTGAGCCTGGCACGTAGTAGAGGCTCAACTAATGTTAGCTAGCATCTTTATTTTGATTTACAAGGTGGCAGAGGGAGGCGGTGGAGGATGGCGTTGAGAGTCGGACTCTGAAGTTCAACCACCTGGGGGAGTCCTGGTTCCCCTGGAAATTGGCTTTGTGTCCTCACTTTACCTCTCAGCTTCATTTCCCCCTGAGATAACGTGGATAATAACAGGACCTGCCTCACAGGTGAGTTGGGCAGATTAAATGGCATGGTAACACTGTCTGGCACCAGTGAACCCTGGATAAATGTTAGCTACTGCTATCACAGTGATTATAATTTGCCCCACTGCAATTTACTGGGATTACCTTGGGGTGGTAATGAGGTACATATTTGGGGAGGGGATGGCTAAGTGAACTGAACATTACTTAGAGGCAGATTTATATACAGAAACGGCTCAGGGCCAAGGGCTGCAGCATGGCCTGGCCCTGCTGTACATGAAGAAAGTTTTGGGATATAGAGAAGCATCTCTTAACGAGAGTGCAGGGGTAAAGAGCACAGACTGGTTCAAATCCCAGCTCTGTCATGAACTGTGTGATCTTGGACAAGTAACTTCACCTCTCTGGGCCTTAGTTTCCTTATCTGTAAAACAGTGGAGATGATAAAACCTATTTCATAGCATTGTCGAAAGTATTAACTAAGTAAGTATTTGTCATGTGCTTAGAACAATACCTGGCACCTGCAAAGCACTAGATAGTAATGTGTTTCTTTCCATGGACAAATGAATTTGAAAAAATATATATGTAAAGTACCAGCACAGCAATTTACCAAATAACAAGTAGCATTTTAAATCAGCAGGGCCTTGATAATTTCTAGTAATGTGTTTGTTGGTCTCGTGGAAATACAGGAAAATCAATAGCAACAATGACAGCAGGTAACAATTGTAGAGAAACTGTCCGTCAGTCCCTGTGCTGAGAGCTTTGTGCACCTTGAGTTACTTAATTCTCACCATGACCCCATGAGGAAGGGAGGTACTAGTTAAGGGAGGTACTAGTTTATCCCACTCTAGAGATAAGGAATCCTAGATCCAGAAAGTTCAAGCTATTCTCCTGCCTTAGCCTCCCAAGTAGCTGTGATTACAGATGTGCGCCACCACGCCTATCTAATTTTGTAATTTTAGTAGAGACGAGGTTTCACCATGAGGTTTCACCATGTTGGCCAGGCTGGTCTTGAACTCCTGACCTCATGTGATCCACCCACTTCAGCCTTTCAAAGCGCTAGGACTACAGGCATGAGCCACCGTGCCTGGCCAGGACTGCTGGTTAAATGTCTTCTCAAGGTTCTTACAGCAGGGACAGGACAAAGCCTCCCCCAGAATCCAGGCTTCCTGATTCCTACTCCAAAGCTCCTCCCATTCACCAGGGCTTAGAAAACTACAGCTAACCAGCCATATCTTGCCTGCAGCCCTTATTTGTGAATAAAGTTTTATTGAAACACAGCCAGATGCATTCCTTCACCTGCTGTCTGTGGCTGCTTTTGTGCTACCACAGCAAAGGTATGAGTAACTGTGATGGAGACTGCCAGGCCCACATGCCTAAAATAACTGGCCCTTGGCAGAAGTCGTCTGTCCATCCCTGCTGTACCCCATTAATTTCTCCATGTTTGACAAATGGAATTAATTAAAGGGAACAGCATCTGTGATGCTGACAGCATGGAGAAGAAATAAATGTTTTAGAGGGTTGTTTTATATCACGTGGGGACAAAAACTGCCAGAGTGTTTTCTAAAGATTACTGAAACCAAGAGCATATCTGGGCTTTAAAAATATTGAGGTATTTATTTATTATTTTTATTTTTTGAGATGGAGTCTCGCTCTGTCACCCAGGCTGGCGTGTTCAAGCAATTCTCCTGCCTCAGCCACCCAAGCAGCTAGGACTACAGGCTTATACCACCACTTCTGGCTAATCTTTGTATTTTTAGTGGAGACGGGGTTTCACCATGTTGGCCAGGCTGGTCTCGAACCCCTAACCTCAAGTGATCTGCCCGCCTTGGCATTCCAGAGTGCTGGGATTACAGGCATGAACTACCACACCTGGCCAATATTGACGTTTTTTAAAAATATGTTTTGTGCATCAGAAAACAGATCAACCATGCGGAAACAACCGGCATACTGAATGGGAAACATGCAAGAAGGAAACATTCCACAGCAAATGCTTATGGCCAGGCCACAGCCACCTGTGCTTATAACAACGCTTGGATATTGTGGAGCAGGGGTGGGAGACTCAGGACAGTAACTCACTGCCTCATGTGCCCTCCTAAGTAGCGCCTAGTATGGGCCTGGCACACAGTCCAGATTCATAAACATTTGTTCATGGAAACAAAGTACACAAAACTCCTCCTTGGCTAGGTACTGGTTTATCAGGTAGGAGTTTCATTATTAACAAGACCAACCAACATTCGCTTGGTAGTAGTTCGGTGTCAGGATCCGCAAGGGCCATCAACACATACCCTCGTTACAATCACCCTCTTGGATGGTGTTGTCAACAGCTTCTCTGAAGCAGTAATTCCCCAGACCCTTCTTCCTGGCCGGCAGAAGATGGAGGTTGAAAACAGCAAAAGCCAGCCGGCCGCGGTGGCTCATGCCTATAATCCCAGTACTTTGGGAGGCCAAGGTGGGCAGATCACTTGAGGTGCATCAGGAGTTCGAGACTAGCCTGGCCAACAAGGTGAAACCCCATCTCTACTAAAAATACAAAAATCAGCCAGACATGGTGGCGTGTGCCTGTAATTCCAGCTATTCAAGAAGCTGAGGCAGGAGAATTGCTTGAATCCAGGAGGCAGAGGTTGCAGTGAGCCAAGATCATGCCACTGTACTCCAGCCTAGGCCACAGAATAAGACTGTCTCGAAAGAAAAGAAAAGAAAAGAAAAGAAAAGAGAAAACAGCAAACGCCTTTATTTGTTCCCAGGCTTCCCTGTACCTGCAGGTTGGGCACGTGACAAGATCTAGCCAATGACACCAAAGGAAGGCTTCTCGGGGTATTTCGGGAACAATGTCCTCCCTGATGAGAGACTTGGGGAGAATCCCTGCCCTTTTCCTTCCTGCCTTGGGCCTTGTCCTGTGAGGGTGTGATGTATGGAGCTGCAGCAGCTATTTTGTAATCAGGAGGGGAAGGCCAACAGAATTGTTCAGAAGCCAATCCAAAGGTGTTGTTTTTTTTTTTTTTTTTTTTTTGAGACAGAGTCTCACTCTGTCACCCAGGCAGGAGTGCAGTGGCACGATCACAGCTCACTGCAACCTCTGCTTCCCAGGTTCAAGTGATTCTTGTGCCTCATCCTGCCAAGTAGCTGGGATTGCAGGTGTGTGCCACCCATGGCTGGCTAATTTTTATATTTTTAATAGATTCAGGGTTTTGCCATGTTGGCCAGGCTGGTCTTGAACTCTTGACCTCATGTGATCCACCTGCCTTGGCCTCCCAAAGTGTTGGGATTACAGCATGAGCCACTGTGCCCAGTCCCAGAAACCTTTTGAGTCACTGAATCAACTCTGGAACCTTGGGATTTCTCGTCAAGTGAAAAAAACAAATCTCCTGCTGTTTAAATCTCTCTTAGTACTGTGTTCTATTACTTGTAGCCTGACTGTTAGGCGTAGTGGCTTGAACCTGTAATCTCAGCTACTCAGGAGGCTGAGATGGGAGGATTGCTTGAGGCCAGCCTGGGCAGCATAGTTTGACCCTATCTCTAGAAGAACAAAAAGTTAGCCAGGCATGGTGGCATGGGTCTGTAGTCCCAGCTACTCAGAAGGCTGGGGTGGGGGAAGACTGCTTGGGCCCAGGAGTTTGAGGTTACAGTGAGCTATGACTGTACCACTATACTCCAGCCTGGGTGACTGAGTGAGACCCCATCTCTAAAAAACAAAAATGAAAAAACCAAAAAGCCAAAAAAATATCCTAAGTGGTAGGAGTAAGTGTGGTATCATCTTCATTTTCTGGATGAAGAAACTAGGGCAAAGAAAGTAACTCACAGAGTTAGCAAGCAACCACTGCCATTTATTGAGTGCTTACTATGTGTTAGGCACTGAGATGTGTGCTTTGTCTACATCATCTCTTGATTGATCGATTGATTGAGCCAGAGTCTTGCTCTGTTGCCCAGGCTGGAGTGCAGTGGCGCGATCTTGGCTCATTGTAACCTCTGCCTCCCGGGTTCAAGCCATTCTCCTGCTTCAGCCTCCCGAGTAGCTGGGACCACAGGTGTGCACCACCATGCCTGGCTAATTTTTGTATTTTTAGTAGAGATGGGGTTTCACCATGTTGACCAGGCTGGTCTCAAACTCCTGAGCGCAGGCAATCCACCTGCCTAGGCCTCCCAAAGTGCTGGGATTACACGTGTGAGCCACCGCGCCTGACTATATCATCTCATTTAATTCCTGCAATCACCCTGCAGCATGGGTATCATTAGCCCCATTCTACAGATAAATAAACTGAGGCTTAGGGAAGTTAAATAAACCGCTCGAGGTCACATGCGACTGGAATGTGGCAGAGTTAGGATTTGAACCCAGATCTGAGTCCAGAGCCTATGGACCATCTCCTTGCTCACAAAGCCAGTATGAACCTACTTCTTCTTTTCACGAACCTTTACCAGGTATCTTTGCTATACCGAGCTGTGTGCAAGGCACTGGGAACTCTGAGATGAACAAGGTAGCCCCTGCCCTCCAAGAGCTCAGACTGGAGGGGTAGCAGGTATGGAGAGTTCCTACGCAGTGTGATGGTTGCAGAGATGGGTCCCTGGGCACACAGGTGGAACAATGCCCTGGTCTGGAGGACAGATAAGGGAAGGCTTCCTGGAGGTGACCCCCAAGGAGTTAAGTATGTTCATCTGTTTAGCCCAGTGGAGAGACAAAGACAGAAAAACAAAAACCCCAAACAGCTAAGACCCAGGGCATAAGCGAAGTTTACTCATGCGGGACCACTGAGTGTAGGTGGCGGCCATGTCTTGAAAACACTGCAGATGCAAGAGTTTCTCACCATCTCCTGGCCCCAATCTTGTGCTCCCTGTCCTAGTAACGGTATCTCTGTGCGCCTACACTCTCTTCCCCCTCTGAACCTTTGGAGCCCTAGTGAACTCCTGCCTGTGCCTCACCCGCCACACTCAACCTCTTCCCAAGTCAACTCCACTCGCCCTGAGAAAAGTCTGTCCCATCTGTGTCCTCTCTCCACCACTCGGTCATTGTCCTGGTTCCCCCGGATGACTCCGCTGGCCTCCTAACTGGTCCCCTCCTGCCTCCATACTCTCCCCTCTAGAATTTTTTAAGGTCAAAGCCCATGCTCTTAACAGTTCTGCTATTCTGACTCCAAATACGTGATTTAAACACACACATGGGAGACACTGTCAGTGACAGGGATGAAATATAACAGTGTCATTCTTTTGCTCCCACGACCCCCTGTTTAAACCCATTACAGCACTCACTCATCTGTATCTGTCTGCTGTTACAATCAGCCACCTGGGCACCCCCACCTGGATGTAAGCACCTTGAGGACAGGAGCTGGGCCTCGTTTATCTTTGTTTCCTCCACAGGGTCATGTGCTACACCCAGCACATGGTAGAGGCTCAACAAATGCATGTTTCATGAATGAATAAATATTAATATCTTATCCCTTCCTCGACAGTGTTCTACTTGATTGGGGGATGGTATCTGTCTCATTCACGTTTACCCTCCACGTACTTCAAATCATACCTGGCATACAGTAGGTGCTCAAAAAATACTTGGTGAACGTATAAATGAGTGAATAACCGAACAAGGGGATGTCTTATCCCCCTACCAGATTGTGAGTTCCTGAGAGCAGCAGTCCCCAACCTTTTTGGCACCAGGGACTGGTTTCAGGGGAGATGATTTTTCCAGGGACCGGCATGGGTAGGGTTCAGGATGAAACTGTTCCACCTCAGATCATCAGGCATTAGATTGTCATAAGGAGCGTACAACCTAGATCCCTTACACGCGCAATTCACGATAGGGTTTGAGCTTCTATGAGAATCTAATGCTGCCACAACTCAACCTCTCTGCGCTTAGATTTCTTCATCTACAGATGGGACCATACAGTATGTACCTGGAAGAGCTTTGTCAGTAGCAAAGGACACAGCCCATGTGGCTTAGTATTGATAAAATGCTTAGAACAGGAAGCAGAGGTCAGGCAGTCATTCCTGCTCGCCCACTGCTCACCTCCTGCTGTGCGGCCAGGTTCCTAAGAGGCTACAGACCAGTACTGGTCCACGGCCTGGCGGTTAAAGACCCCTGCCTTAGAGGCAAGGACAATGACTTGCCCCTCTCTGCATTGCCTCATGGTGCCTGGCAGGCTGTTTGGCTGTCCGTAATTGTTCCCCTGAAGAAGCATGACCTTCCCTCTGTGAGACAGAAGAACTCACCTGTGTTCGGGTTCAGGAAATAGCTGGGACAGGGAGATGCCACAGAGGGCAGCATAGGCGAAGCGGTTGGCCTCAGTCAGCTCCCGGCCCATGGGCAGGTGTGGCTCCCCCTCTGCAGTGGGTTCAGCTACCAGAGGCCGCTGAGGCAGCTTCTGGCATGGCCTGTTCCACGTGGCCATTCCCAGCCCTGCTGGAGAAAATTCCCAGTGAGAAACGCTTCCAGAGGTAAGCCAAGGTTACTTAAGCATGACACAGAACTTACAAACCATAAAAGGCTGATAAAGTAGACATCATTAAAATGAAGAACTTCTTTTCATCACCTTTAGGAGAGTGAAAACACACACTACAGACCGGGATGGAGGGAGGGATCTTCAATATGTGTATCCACAAAGGTCTATACGCAGTATCCAAACAACTAACTCCAATAAGCCATTAAGAAAAAGAAATGAAGCAAATTAAAAAATCGGCAAAGGCCGGGCGCGGTGGCTCAAGCCTGTAATCCCAGCACTTTGGGAGGCCGAGACGGGCGGATCACGAGGTCAGGAGTTCGAGACCATCCTGGCTGGCATGGTGAAACCCCGTCTCTACTAAAAAATACAAAAAAAGCTAGCCGGGCGAGGTGGCTGGTGCCTGTAGTCCCAGCTACTTGGGAGGCTGAGGCAGGAGAATGGCGTAAACCCGGGAGGCGGAGCTTGCCGTGAGCTGAGATCCGGCCACTGCACTCCAGCTCGGGCGACAGAGCAAGACTCCGTCTCAAAAAAAAAAAAAAAATCGGCAAAAGACTGGAATAGATACTTCATAAAAGATATTCTGCAGTAAGCCGAGATCGCGCCACTGCACTCCAGCCTGGGTGACAGAGCAAGACTCCATCTCAAAAAAAAAAAAAAAAAAAAAGATATTCCTTAGGCCAGGCATGGTGGCTCACGCCTCTAATCCCAGCACTTTTGGAAGCTGAGGTAGAAGGATTGATTGAGCTCAGGAGTTCAAGACCAGCCGAGACAACATAGTGAGACTCCATCTCTACAGAAAAATAAAATAAAAGAATTAGCTGGGCACGGTGGCACATGCCTGTAGTTCCAGCTACTTAGGAGGCTAAGGTGAGAGGATCACTTGAGCCTAGGATTTGAGGCTGCAATGAGCTATGATCATTGCACTCCATCCTGGGCTACAGAATGAAACCCTGTCTCTTAAAAAAAAAACCAAAAAAATCCCAATCGCCAATAAGTATGAAAAGATGTTCAACATAATTAGTCATCAGAGAAATGGAAAATAAAATCCCAATGAGACACTACCACTTACCTGTCAGAACAGCTAAAACTAAGAAGCCTGAGAATACCAAGTGCTGGTGAGGATGAAGAACAAACAGAACTTTCTTTTCTTTTTTTTTCTTTCTTTGAGACGGAGTCTCGCTCGTCGCACAGGCTGGAGTGCAGTGGCGCGATCTCGGCTCACTGCAAGCTCCACCTCCCGGGTTCACGCCATTGTCCTGCCTCAGCTTCCTGAGTAGCTGGGACTATAGGCGCCCGCCACTGCACCCAGCAAATTTTTTGTATTTTTAGTAGAGACGGCGTTTCACTGTGTTAGCCAGGATGGTCTCGATCTCCTGACGTCGTGATCCACCTGCCTCGGCCTCCCAAAGTGCTGGGATTACAGGCGTGAGCCACCGTGCTTGGCCACAAACAGAACTTTCACACATTGCTGGTGGGATTGTACATAGGTACAACTATTTGAAAATGGTATGACAATATCCCCTAAAGCTCTAACATACATCTTCCCTATGCTCTGGCAATTCCACTCCTAAGAAATGAGGACTTATGTCACCAAAAGACACATACATGAATGCTCACAGCAACTTCACTCACAATAGTCCCAAACTGGCAACAACCTACATGACTATCACAGTAGAATGGATACATGGTCATATTCACACTGTGAAACATTACACAACAATGAAAAAGGAATGAACTACAGCAAACATGAGTGAATCTCAGACAAAATGATACACAGAAAGCCATTCACGAGAGAGTACCTACCATGGGATTCCCTTTACATGAAATTGAAGAATGGTAAACCCAATGTACGGTGATGGAAGTCAGATGAGGGGTTACATGTGGGAGGGAGTATTGGCTCAGAATGGGTGCAAAGAAGGTTTCTGGGCGGAGGAAATGATCTCTATGTTGACCTGGGTGGTCGTTACATGGGTATAAATATATTTGAAACTTCCCTGAGCTGTATAGTTAAGATTTATGTGCTTTGTGTACAGTATACCTCAAAGGAAGGAAGGAAGAAGGAAAAAAGGGAGGAAGGTCTCCTCTTTGTTCTCCCTCCTTCTTTTCCTTCCCTCCATTCTTTCCTTCCTTCCCAGGGGCAGAAGGGAAAGGGAGGAGAAGAGTAGGAAGAGCAGGGAGAGAAGAGGAGAGAGGGGACACGCCAAGAAGTCATCCAAGAAGCAGACAGAACACTGGGAGCCACCAGGAAGGGTACAGGGAAGGGTACCAGCCTCTACTGTAGGGGATCAAGGATATGAACGCAGGCTCAGGACCACACAGACCTGGCTGTGAAAACAAGCACCGCCACTTAGCAGATGTGGGACCCTGGGCAACTCAACCTCTCTGTACTTAGATTTCTTCACCTACAAATGGAACCATACAGTATCTACCTAGAAGAGATATGTCAGCAGTAAAGGACACAGCCCTGTGGCTTAGTATTCGTGAAGTGCTTAGAATGGAGTCTGGCACAGGGTTCGTGCTATATAAATGCTTGGTTAAAAAATAAATGCACAAAATGATCAACAAATAAGTAAAAACCTTGGCATGGTGCCTGGCACACAGCAAAGGTTTAATACTAACAAGATCTAACATTACTGAGTTATTACTGGGTGCAGGGCACCGGGGTTGCAATTTTAACATGCATTGTCTCAGCAGACTCTATGAGGCAGGTAGGACTGTAATGTTCAGTCTGCAAATTAGGAAACAGGCTCAGAGAAGTAACTGGGCTCCCCTCACACAGCCAGTCAATGGCAGACAGATAGGGCCCAAAGATAGAACTGTTGGTCACCAACTCTGTTTTAAATATTCATCACATGGCCAGGAGCCTTCTAGCTCAATAACCACACTCCATACTGTTCTTGGTTCATAAGTTTGTTCCCATCTAGCTGAGCAACAAAAATTTTTGTTCTCAAAATATTACTTCTGTAGAGGAGTTATTTAAAAGTCTGTCTACAATTAATATTTCATTTATTTTCAAAACAACCCTGAGGTAGTTAAAAGCAACAAACCAACACTTTTACAGCACATAACTGTTTGCAAAGCATTTTCCAAACCGCTTAATTCTTACAACTACCGTGTAAAGTTAAGTTGGACATGAACCATTATGATTTCCTCTTATGACTGAGGAACAGGCTTAAAATGATCAAGTAATTTCCCCAAAGTTACACAGTAACTGATGAGATCCAAACCAGACTTTTGACTCCAAACCTTGAGCTCTTTCCTCTACACCAGCACAGGGATCTTCTTTCCCCTGTTTCAGACGGAGAAACGAAGGCCCAGAGAGGTTAAGACCTTGCCGAAAGTCACCCAGCAAGACTGGCCTCAATGGTTGCTCCAGGAACCCACATTTGAGATTCGCAGCAAATTTCCCTGGCTCAGAGGGTCAGCTCAGACCATGGTGGTGGAGACAGGGGTAACAGCATAAACCATGAACTGAGGGCAGTGCCAAGGGCTGCACTAGACTGATGTCAGCAGGTCAGCAATTTCCACTACATTTAATCAACTCCATGTGCCACTTGGAGGCTGTGTTGATTGTACCTATTACTCAGAGGAGCCTAAGGTAGTATTTTACTAGACTGGTATCTGGGGAGCCCCACGCCAGTTCTTAGCTCAATAATAAACAGCTTTCTGATCAGAGAAGGGTGAGCTGGCCTGCTTCTAACCACAGAGGTATGAGGATGTGTCTAGCATACAAAAGGCTAAGCTCAGGTTGGGTGTGGCGGTAGCTCACGCCTGTAATCCCAGCACTTTGGGAGGCCGAGGCGGGTGGATCACTTGAGGTCGGGAGTCTGAGACCAGCCTGGCCAACATAGTGAAACCCCATCTCTACTAAAAGTACAAAAAAATTAATGGCTGGGTGCAGTGGCTCACGCCTGTAATCCCAGCACTTTGGGAGGCCGAGGCGGGTGGATCACGAGGTCAGGAGATCGAGACTATCCTGGCTAACATGGCAAAACCCCGTCTCTACCAAAAATACAAAAAATTAGCCGGGCGTGGTGGAGGGCGCCTGTAGTCCCAGCTACTCTGGAGGCTGAGGCAGGAGAATGGCATGAACCCGGGAGGCAGAGCTTGCAGTGAGCCGAGATCGTGCCACTGCACTCCAGCCTGGGCGACGAGCGAGACTCTGTCTCAAAGAAAAAAAAAAAATTAGCTAGGCATGGTGGGGTGTGCCTATAACCCCAGCTACTCGGGAGGCTGAGGCAGGAGAATCACCTGAATCTGGGAGGCAGAGGTTGCAGTGAGCTGAGATTGTGCCACTGCACTCCAGTCTGGGCAACAGAGCAAGACTCCATCTAACGAAATAATAATAATAAAGCTAAACTCTGACCAAATTCATTCATTCACTCAACACAATTTCTCCTGATGCCCTACAATGCATTCTCTACATAGTGGCCTCAGTGACCTTTTTGCCACATGGACCAATCATGTCACTAGGTTGCTTAAAAGCCTGCAAAGGCCTCCCATCACATCAGGAAAAATCCCAATCCTGGTATGATGGTCTCAGAGGGGTGTCCAATCTTTTGGCTTTCCTGGGCCACACTGGAAGAAGAATTGGTTTGGGCCATACATAAAATACACTAACACTAATGATAGCTGATGAGCTAAAAAAAAAAAAAATTGCAAGAAAACCTCATAATGTTTTAAGAAAGTTTACGAATTTGTGTTGGGCCGCATTCGAAGCTGTTCTGGGCTGTATGTGGCCCACAGGCCGAAGATTGGACAAGCTTAAAAGTCCTGTGCAATCCAGTTGCTGCCTGCCACTAAACTCCATCTCATGTCCCCACATCGGTCTTGTTCACTGTGCTACAGCCACACTGGCTGTCCTTCTGCTCGTCTCCTCCAGGCCCTTGCACCTGCCATTCTCCCCATCAGGAACACCTTCCCTGACCATCACATCATCTGGCCTCAGCCCAGATGTCACCTCCTCTGAGAGACCTTCCCTGACCACCCAGGCTACAGTATTAGGTTGGTGCAAAAGTAACTGTGGTTTTTTGCAATTTAATAGCAAGACCCACAATTACTTTTGCACCAACCTAATATCTCTGTCTTCTATCCCAGCACCCTCTTCTATTTTTATCATACTCATTCTTATCTAAAATAATGTTTTTTTAAAAAATTATTTCTTTACCTGTGTATACAAATAGTGTAGAAGTTTCTTAAGGCAGTTCCCTGGTTGTTTTTTCACTGCCACACCCCTAGATTTCTGGACAGGCCCTGGATCACTGTAGGCATTCAGGAAATACTTGCTGGATGAATGAAGAGGGGGCTAGGATGTGGGAAGCCCTGTTCTGGGCCTTAGGGCAGATCAGAGGATGAAACTGACAAGTTCCCTGCTCTTAAGGGGCTGACATTCTGGTGGGAGACAGGCAATAATATGCCAATACATAATGACAAAGCGACCTAAGTTGGTCAAGGTCACAGAGCTAATAAGCGGTAGAACTAAGACACACACTCAGGAGGTCTGGCTGCAGAATCCATGCCCTCAGCAGCCCACTCAACACATAGGTAAACATTCCTTCAGGAAGTGGTCAGGGGAGAACAGTTAGGCAGGGTGAGGGGATATGAAGTGATGGGGTGAAGTGGGGTTGGCTAATATACATGGATGAAAGGTGTCATTCCAGCAGAGGCCTGCAGAAGTCACAGGATGGGTGGAGAGGTATTCCTTAGAGGAAACAGTATGGTGGTAGAGACAGACAAATACACAGAAAATGGTGGCTGGACACAGTGGCTCACGCCTGTAATCCCAGGGCTTTCGGAGGCTGAGGCAGAAGGACTGGAGGAGCCTGGGCAACAAAGTGAGACTCTGTCTCTACAAAAATAATAATAATTTAAAAATTAGCCAGGCATGGTGGAGCATGCCTGTGGCCCCAGCTACTCAAGAGGTTGAGGCAGGAGGATCGCTTAAGTCCAGGAGTCTGAGGAAGTTGAAGCTGCAGTAAGCCATGATCACACTATTGCACTCCAGCCTGGTGACAAAGCAAGACCCTGTCTCTCAAAGAAAAACAAACCAAAACACACAGAAAAAACAGACAATGACAATCTGTGTGATAAACACCGTGACAGCGGAAACATGAGAGACAGAGGGATCCCAAGACGGGGACCCTGAACCCAGCACTGGCTCCCTGGAGAAGGTGATGGTAAAGCTGAACATGGAGTGAATCAGACAGGGGTGGGGTGGGCACATCTTTGACAAAGGGAAAAGCATGTGGCAAGACCCAGAGGTAGAGGAGAAATGCTTTTGAAGAACAAAAAGATGTTTGGTGCAGCCAGGGCTTGGACAATGGGTGGGCGTGAAGAAATGAGGTGGGAGTGGAAGCTGCCAAGGGCTGCCGCAGGCAGGGCCAAGTTCGTCTCACTAAGGAATTAGGCTTCCTTGTAAAGGCAACGGCCATGCAGGAGGCTGAACGAGGGTGCATGGAACCTCCTGGTACTATATTTGCAACTTCCCGTGAGTCTATAATTATTTTAAAATAAAAAGTTTTTTAAAAAGTAGTGGAACATCTCTATAGAATTTTAAAAACCTTTTCTTGAGGCAAAAGTAAATTATCAATGAATATTGACCTCTTAAGGGGTTAATGAATCTAATAAACATATATTAGCCCTACTACAGTGGTGACTAAGCCAGGCACATAAAGACCCCCCATTGGGGAGATTATATTCTAGAGAGGGAGACAGAAAACGTAAACTCAGACAGAAGACCATTTTAAATAATAACAAGGGGCTTCTGAAGGAAAAGAAACCTTCAATACTTACCCAGATTTCAAGAAACAGCCGTGGGCCTCTTTCTGTTTGAAGACAGGCTGCTCAGGTTCTGGATGGTTCTTCGGAGAAATATGCAAATTGCCCTGTGGGAGCAAACCAGAAAAACCAGCCTGTGGGTCCACAGAGTGTGGGATCTGGGGAAGGCTACAGCAGAGGGAGCTGGCTGGTTAGCTAAAGCTCAGGGGAGCCTGGCATTGCACCGTCACTCCTCTGGGCCCTTGCCCTGCACATTCCTTGATGTGCAACGCTGTTCTCGGCACAGTGGTAAGGCAGGCAGCTACCACTGCTGAGCACTCACCATGTGCCCCACACAGCCCTGCCCCTTTCCATGGATGGTCTCATTTAATGTCCTTGTTCAACTCTTTGTACCTTGAGCTGTGGTCGCTGCATCCAGCTCCTGGGCAGGCATCCTGTTGCCTCCACATCTGTACCTGGTGCCTAACCACAGAGTGTGCACTCAGAAAATGCCAGTTATATGAACTGAGGGATGAACTAGCTTTTAGGCTTAAGCAAGAGCTAGATTTTCCTATTTTTCTCCCTAAAGGCACTCCCGTTCTCACATGCCAATGGAGCATCAGATGGGGAAGGGAGATGGACGAAGGTCCAAGCATCTGGAATTACCCAAAGGAGGTCTCAGGACCCAAAATCTGGGTCCCCCAAAATTTCAAATAATTTGAGCTTCATCCTTAGTGCCATTTTCTTTTGCTTTTCTTTTCTTTTTCCCTTTTTCTTTTCTTTTCTTTTTTTTTTTTTTTTTTTTTTTTTGAGACAGAGTTGCTCCTGGCTTTTTGAGACAGAGTTTGGCTCTGTCGCCCAGGCTGGAGTGCAGTGGTGCCATCTCGGCTCACTGCAACCTCTGCCTCCTGGGTTCAAGTGATTCTTGTGCCTCAGCCTCCTGAGTAGCTGGAATCACAGTCGCGCACCACCATGCCTGGCTAATTTTTCATATTTTTAGTAGCGACGGGGTTTTGCCACGTTGCCCAGGCTGGTCTTAAACTCCTGAGTTCAGGCAATCTGCCCGCCCCAGCCTCCCAAAGTGCTAGGATTACAGGCGTGAGCCACTGCACTCAGTCCTTAGTGCCATTTTCAATGCCAGTGAAAATAATATTTTTTACTTCTTTAAGCTTCAGTGGGGTTTTTATTATCAGTGGGAATGCCCTTCTCCTAGAGGTTGCCTTCCTCCCTGGCATGAGAATGAACCTGTACTGTGCCTAAAAATTGAATATTCACACTATGAGTCCAATCATGTTAGAGCAATGGAGAGGAGAAAAATGACTGGAAGAACATCCTCCAAAATTATCTCTGAATTGCCATTCAGAGATACCAGAGACTTTTCTGTATTTCCCCCGAATTTTCTGCCATAAATTCGCATTGTTTTTGAACTCTCTAGAAAGCTATTTTGTGCAGGTCTCTCTCCATAGAGAGGATACTTTGGACATGCACCAGGATGCTGGCAGTGACCTGGATTGGATTCTGGATGATTTTAATTCTTTCTTCATATATCTGTGTTTTATGAATTATTAACAATAAGTATTGATTTTGAGATCGGAAAAAAATAATTTAAAATTACAACATGCTGCACTGGTGCCAGCTCATACCAGCTGGTGACAATCAGTTCTGTGCTTCTCCTTCCAACCCTGTGTCCGGTGACATTGGCACGTTGGGAATATTTACATCACAGAAATTGGTAAATGCTACATATCCGGGATAATTTTGTTCTAGAGAGATGGTAGACCAGAATTCGACTGAATATACAATATGATTCTAGTTTTGTTTTTAAAACATGTTTCGGCTGGGTGCGGTGGCTCATGCCTGGAATCCCAGCACTTTGGGAGGCTAATGTGGGCGGATCACGAGGTCAGGAGATCGAGGCCATCCTGGCTAACAAATGCCATCTCTACTAAAAATACAGAAAATTAGCCGGGCATGGTGGTGGGTGCCTGTAGTCCCAGCTACTTGGGAGGCTAAGGCAGGAGAATGGTGTGAACCTAGGATGCGGAGCTTGCAGTGAGCCAAGATCACACCACTGCACTCCAGCCTGGGTGACAGAGCAAGACTCCATCTCAAAAAAAAAAAAAATTAAATTAAAAAACAAACAAACATGTTTCAGCCAGGTGTGGTGGCTCACGTCTGTAATATCAACACTTTGGGAGGCCGAGGCAGGCAGATCACCTGAGCTCAGGAGCTCGAGACGAGCCTGGCCAATATGGCGAAATCCCATCTCTACTAAAAATACAAAAATTAGCTGGGTGTGGTGGTTCATGCCTGTAATCCCAGCTACTCAGGAGGCTGATGCAGGAAAATTGCTAGAAACCATGAGGCAGAGAATGCAGAGAGCCAAGACTGAACCACTGTACTCCAGCCGGGGTGACAGAGTCAGACTCTGTCTCAAATAAATAAATAAATAACAATGAAAAATAAAACATGTTTCACAGAGCAAAAAGATCAGAAGGAAATACATCAAAATGTTTATGATCATTGTCTCTTGGTTGGTGGGGCTGAGGGACTAGAGATGATTAGTTTCTGTTCTTATTTTTCTATATTTTTAGCATTTCTGTCATGAGCTTATTGGTGCTTTTATAATGTAAAAAAAAAAATACAAACTTTTAATCAGAAATAATTCTGGCCTCTTGATCCTTAGAAGGGGAGTGTTTTATCTCAGAAAGCCCTGGTCCCATGTGGCCCAGCCAAGTCAGTGGGGGTGAGTTCACAGTTAAGTCCCACACATTTGACCAATAGATCTTGTCAGTAAGAAAAAGAGGCTAGGAGCAGTGGCTCACGCCTGTAATCCCAGCACTTTGGGAGGCTGAGGATAGATCTCTTGAGCCCAGGAGTTCGAGACCAGCCTGGACAACATGGCAAAACCCCACCTCTACAACAAATACAAAAATTAGTCAGGCATGATGGTGAGTACCTGCAGTCCCAGCTACTCGGGAGGGTGAGGTGGGAGAATCACTTGAGCCTTGCGGGTAGAGGCTGCAGTGAGCTGAGATCCTGCCACTGGACTCCAGCCTGGGTGACAACAGAGTGAGACTCTGCCTCAAAAAAAAAAAAGAGAGAGATTCCCTATTTAATAAATGATGCTGGGAGAACTGTCTAGCCATATGCAGAAAATTGCAACTAGATCCCTTCCTTACACCATATACAAAAATTAACTGAAGATCGATTAAAGACTTAAAGGTAAAACCCCAAACTATAAAAACCTTAGAAGAAAATCTAGGCAATACCATTCAGGACATAGGCATGGGCACAGATGTTATGACGAAATCACCAAAAGCAATCGCAACAAAAGCAAAAACTGACAAATGGGATCTGATTAAACTAAAGAGCTTCTGCACAGCAAAAGAAACTATCATCAGAGTGAACAAGCAACTTACAGAGTGGGAGAAAGTTTTTGCAATCTATCCATCTGATAAATGTCTAATATCAAGACTCTACAAGGAACTTACGCAAATTTACAAGAAAAAAAACAGACAACCCCATTAAAAAGTGGGCAAACCTCTGACATACCAGGAGAAGTCTTGCGGCCTGAGGCAATTGGAGTACAAGTCTGGGTAGGGCTACAATGTGAAGAATGAGAAGATGTTACCTGGGAAAAGGGAAGCAGGGGGTAGGAGTGGCCTGGAAGAGCAGATGCAAAGGTCCCAAGGAGGGAGGGGTGGCATGCCTGGGCACAGAGGGCTGTTGATAAGTGTCTGAGATGCGGCTGGAGGTGTAAGCTGGGGGACAGGGTGCACAGCCTTCTGGTTCGTGTAAAAGGTTTTTGCTCTTTTCCCTAAGAAAATGGGAAGCCAAGGCCAGTCGCGGTGGCTCACGCCTGCAATCCCAGTACTTTGGGAGGCTGAGGTGGGCGGATCACAAGGTCAGGAGTTCAAAACCAGCCTGTCCAATATGGCGAAACCCCATCTCTACTAAAATACAAAAATCAGCCAGGCATGGTGGTGGGTGCCTGTAGTCCCAGGTACTTGGAAGCCTGAGGCAGGAGAATCGCTTGAACCGGGGACGCGGAGGTTGCAGTGAGCCAAAATCGCGTCAGCGCACTCCAGCCTGGGTGACAGAGTGAGACTCTGTCTCAAAAAAAAAAAAAAAGGAGAAGAAGAAAGGAAAGAAGAAAGAAAGAAAGAAGGAAAGAAGGAAAGAAAGGAAAAAAAGGAAAGAAAGAAAATGGGAAGGCAGAGTGGGGTTTTAGGCAGAGGCAGAGGGTGGTACGATGATATCAGGGCAGCTTGAAGCGGAGGTCGGCCAAACAGAAAGTGGATTGGATTTCACTCTCACCCTTTCCGCCTGCTGTCACACGTTCCAGAGAGCCAGTTCCCCACTCCTCATCAGCAGCCCCGGTTTATAATGTACAACACTGTTTACAAGACACACAGGTCAAAAGAGAACACAATGAGAAACCACCCACTGACATTTCTTAGGTCCCACATTAGCCAGCTGTGGTGGCTGGTCCAGCCTTTGTAGCCCAGTGGTACCAGAGTAGAGAGGGATGGTTTGAGCCTTATGAGGAACTCTCCAGACCTCAGCCTTTGTGGGAGCTACATGCTGAGCTATGACAACCTAATCGATCAACTCCTCCTGCCCAACTCCTCCTTGGGCCTTAGGACTAGAAAGTATAAAGTCATGCCTATAATCCCAGCACTTTGGGAGGCTGAGGCGAGTGGATCACGAGGTCAGGAGATCGAGACCATCCTGGTTAACACGGTGAAACCCTGTCTCTACTAATAATACAAAAAAATTAGCCAGGCGTAGTGGCAGGCGCCTGTAGTCCCAGCTACTCGGGAGGCTGAGGCAGGAGAATGGCGAGAACCTGGGAGGCGGAGCTTGCAGTGAGCCGAGATCGCACCACTGCACTCCAGCCTGGGTGACTGAGCAAGACTCCATCTCAAAAAAAAAAAAAAAAAAAAAAAAAAAGTATAAAGTCTCCCAAAGTGTTAGACGCTGCACTGGGCCTTTTGTGGCTTCAGGTCCTTTAATTTTCACAACAACCTTGGAGATGGGTATATCCCAAATGAGTAAACTGAGGCATAAAGATGTCATTGAGCTTGCCCGATCACTCAGTTACAAAGCTGCAAAGCTAACACCTGAGCCCATCTCTGTCTGATGCTGCACACGAGGGCTTGAGGCCACTCTAGCACCGGTCTCTTCTGCTGTCTTCATGTACTTCACAGCTGGGGAAACGCCATTGGTCTCCCCTGTGCCCAGCCCTCCCTCCCCAGGCTGAAGGGCAGGGCTTTATTCCACCCTCTGGAGTGTACTTCCTGAGGGCAGGGCTCATTTTGTTCACTGCTGTATCCTCGGTGCCTAAACAATGCACAAAGTAGGAGCTCAACCAATATTTGAATGAACAATCCAAAGCCATTTGTTGAATGAACAAATGGATGTTCCCAAAGCTTAAAAAGAGTTTCATATTTTCTGCAATGAAATACACACTGAGTTAGGGGAAAGGGGGTTCATGTGCTGACTCCTACTTCGAGTTAGGTAGTAGTCTGGGATGTTAGCCCGGCCCTGCTCGCAATTTCCAGTGCCACCCCAGGGAAGAGCTGGGCTGGTCACAGCAAAGGCATTGTGGAGGCCAACTCTGTGCCAATCACTGGGTCAGGCTCTCCAGGCAGGTAGCCCAGGTTTTTCTCTCTTGCTTCCTAGCTGCGTGGTCTTGGGGAAGTTACTTCACCTCTCTGAGCCTCAGTTTACCCAGCTTTAAAATCCACTCAAAAGTCTGCAGCAGTAATTCTTCCCTCCTGTAACTTCAGGCATGGGCGCCAGAAGATACGGCCTCCTTGTAACATGAGGGGCCTGGCTTTTCTCCAGAGGCTCCCCAAGCCCGGCTAGAACGTTCTGTTTGAGAGTCTGGGGGGGGGGGCGGGTGGGGGCAGGTAGAGACGAGGCGAGAGAGTCCTAGACGCCTTCCTGACAGGGACGTGGAGGGGCCACGTGGGGCAAGCGGAAGCACAGTGACCTCTTGTGACCTTGGACAAGCCCCCTTCCTCTCTGACCTTGACCAGCGTCCTCATTTGTCAAGGGAGCGGCTGGGTGACCTTTAAGAACTCGGAGGCCGAGGCCGGAGTCGCCCGAATGCTCCGCCCAGCCTCAGTTTCTCCCTCTGCCACCCCACAAGATTTCTAAAAGCACTTCCGGCTCTGAAAACAACCACCAGCAGGCGGCCTGGCTCAGGGCAGGCAGCGCCGGGGAGCGCGCGGCCGCTTCCTGGTGGGTCCAGTGTCCCTGGGGTGGAGGGCGGGGCGCAGGGCAAAGGGCCCCAGGGCTGGGCCGGGCTCAGAGTGCCCCGCGTGGGGCCGGCGGGGAGTGGCCCAGCAGGGTGCGCGCCACCGTGGCCTGGTGGCTCCGGGGCCCCCTTACCTGGAGGCGGCGGCGAAGGCGAAGGCAAAGGCGGAGGCGGCAAAAGCGGCGAGCTGCTCCTCCCGCCCGGCCCCTCCCCTCCCGGCCGCGTCCCAGCCCTGGGCCCGGCCCGTCCCGTCCCGCCGCCTGCCTCGAGCGCGCCTGATCGCCGCCGGCCGGGCGGAGCACTCAGGAGCGCGGCGCGGGGGCGCGGGGCCTTCCAGGCTCTGACTCGCCAGCTGCGGGTCCCGACCTGGCTCGTCCCACCTCTGCCCCACTTCCACCACCCATCGCGACAGGGGTGCCGGCCTCTGCAGGTGACCGGCCAGCCCGCGGCGCCACATCTGTGTGTGGGTCCATTTACCCTCCAGGAAGCAGCGAGACAGCGCGGAGTGGGAGAAGGGACCTGCAGGGTTGGCCTTTGCAGAAACTGCCCGCGAAGGACTCGGCCCCTAGAGCAGTGTGCCCCAAAGCCGCGGCGACGGAAGAAGTCTTCAAAAATGTATAATGTAAACAAAGAACCAGTCACAGAAACCGCCTTCCCGCACGTGTATGCAGCACTGTGTAGTTTGCAAAGTGTTCAGATATCTCAGTTCTTCCTGATTCTTCTTTCATTTTCCCTAACGCTAAGTTTGGTCCTGTCTCAGGGCCTCTGCCTGGAGGCTCCCGTGCCTGGAACTCTCTGCCTTCAGGCCTCCCTTTCCCCCAGTCCATTTCCCGCTTTCCATTCTGATCTCCTCTCGGGATGCGATCTGAGAGTCTTCCCTGACCACCCAGCACATTCAGTCGTTGAACAAATTTACTGAGCACCTACTACGTGCCAGATACAGTTCTTTTTTCTCCTTCCTTCCTTCCTTCCTTCCTTCCTTCCTTCCTTCCTTCTCTCTCTCTTTCTCTCTTTCTCTCTTTCTTGATGGAGTCTCGCTCTGTCACCCAGGCTGGAGTGCAGTGGCCTGATCTCAGCTCACTCCAACCTCTGCCTCCTGGATTCAAGCGATTCTCCTGCCTCAGTGTCCCTAGTAGCTGGGACTACAGGTGCGTGCCACCACACCCGGCTAATTTTTGTATTTTTAATAGAGACGGGGTTTCACCATGTTGGCCAGGCTGGTCTCGAACTCCTGAGCTCAGGTGATCCACGCACCTTGACCTCCGGAAGTGCTGGGATAACAGGCCTGAGCTACTGCGCCCGCCGGCGCCAGGTACAGTTCTAAAGGCTGTGGAATCATGTACCAGGCCTCCAGTCCTGTTCTATTTTAATCATAGTATTTATCACTCTGAAATTATTTTGTTCATTTTCCTGTTTCCTACTTTATGTTCTGCCTCTCCAACTTTTTGTTTGTTTGTTTTTTGAGGTGGAGTTTTGCTCTTGTTGCCCAGGGTGGAGTGCAATGGCTCGGTCTCGGCTCACTGCAACCTCTGCTTCCCGGATTCAAGCGATTCTCCTGCCTCAACCTCCCTAGTAGCAGGGATTACAGGTACCAGCCACTATGCCCAGCTAATTTTTGTATTTTTAGTAGAGATAGGCTTTCACCATGTTGGTCAGGCTGGTCTGGAACTCCTCATCTCAGGTGATCCACCCACTTTGGCCTCCCAAAGTGCTGGGATTATAGGCGTGAGCCACTGTGCACAGCCCCAACTAGACTTTGAAAGCCCTGGAGGTGGGTAGGTTTAGGCTGCCTTGCTCTCCTCTGTGAGCCCAGTCCCAGGGGCTGTGCCTAGCACTTGTAGGTGCTAAAAAGAAGCACTTAATGAATGGATCTCTTTCCCCTAGCAACCCTGTGAAATTTTATCACACCCATTCTAAAGGAGAGGAAACCCAGGCTCAGGTCCAGACAGTGCAGAAGCCACAGCTAATGAGTGCCAGAGCTAGAGCATGAATCATCGTGGCCTCAGAGGCTGTTGCCCTTTCTCCCAGTGAAGACAGTCTAGGGTTATGGGAGGAAAAGGTACTGACGGGAGTCAGAGGCCAGCATCACAGCTCAGAGCCTGGGACTCATGTACCTTGTGAAATGTTCCATCCTCCATCTGCTTATCTCCCCACTGGCCAATGAGGACCAAGAAGGGCAACTCTACCCACCCATGAAGTTATTGTGAGGGTCAAATGGGTCAATCATGTGTAGGCTTTAGGGGAATAAGGGGTTATATCTGAGCATATGAGCTTTGTCAAGTTTGAGAACTTCAGCCAGCCCTCCTCTCAATGTCTGGTAGCCCCTTCCAGCCAGATCAGCTTTGTGGGACCAGGCACCACTCTGCACTCCCCAGCTTAGCCCTGTCTCTAATTTGGTTGGAGACCTTGTGTCGAACACACTTGTCTTTGGATATTGGACCCTGTTCAGCCTTTGCTCAGCGCCCAACCCTCACCCTAGTCACCCCCACCGCACACAGGCCCTAATCCCATCATTGAGGCTATGGGTAGGAAAGATGGAGAAAATATGTTTACCCCTTTTGGTGCATGCTTTCGAGATTTTTTTATGTTTGGTATTGGACATTGAAGAATTTCATCTCCTCTAAGTAACTCTCCCCCAAAGAAATGTTTAGGGAGTTGTGGAAGGGGAAGCCTTCTAACGAACCATTGACTAATTCACCCAGGATGTGTGGAGTGGCTGGTGGGGTTCTAGACATTGAGGATATAGCAGGGGAAAGAATCAAAGTGTTTCCAGCGAAATCATGGAGCTTACATTCTGGTTTGCAGGATGGGTAGAGGGAGATGGACAATAAACTGATTTTATTTTATTTTGTTATTATTATTATTTTTTATTGAGACGGAGCATTGCTGTGTTGCCTAGGCTGGAGTGCAGTGGCACAATCTCAGCTCACTGCAACCTCCACCATGGGGGTTCAAGCGATTCTCATGCCTCAGCCTTCCGAGTAGCTGGGTCTACAGGCGCGCACCACCATGCCTGGCTAATTTTTTTTGTATTTTTAGTAGAGATGGGGTTTCACCATGTTGGCCGGGCTGGTCTTGAACTCCTGACCTCAGGTGATCCGTCTGCCTTGGCCTCTTAGAGTGCTGGGATCACAGGTGTGGGCCACCGCACCTGGCCTACAAACTGATTTTAATCTGTTTTACAGAAAAAGTGAAGCAGGGAGGTCATACTATAGAAGATGAAGCAGTCAGGGAACCCCTGCAGGTGATCTCTGAGGAGACTATCAGGTTACAGGACACAGCATCCAAGGTAGACCCAGCAACTGCAAAGGTCTTGAGGTGGGAGTGTGGCTGGCCCTTATAAGAAAACGGTGTGAAAGGAGAATGGAGAGCGCTGGGGGAAAGTCCTGGATGAGATGAGATCAGACAGGGAGTGGGGGTCATATCACTGTGAGCTTTTTAGAAATGCTGATGAGGGCTGGGTGCTGTGGCTCACCGCAGGAGTACAGCGGCCTGATCTCAGCTCACTGCAACCTCTGCCTCCCGCCTGTAATCCCAGCACTCTGGGAGGCCAAGACAGGTGAGTCACTTTAGCCCAGGAGTTTGAGATCAGCCTGGGCAACATGGTGAAACCCTGTCTCTACAAAAGATAGAAAAATTAGCCAGGCATAGTAGGGCAAGCCTGTAGTCCCAGCTCCGTGGAGGGCGGAGGTTGCAGTGAGCCATGTTTGTACCACTGGACTCTAGCCTGGGCGATAAAGCAAGACTCTGGCTCAAAAAAAAAATTTTTTTTTTTTTTTTTTTTTTTTGGAGACGAAGTCTCGCGCTGTCGCACAAGCTGGAGTGCAGTGGCCGGATCTCAGCTCACTGCAAGCTCCACCTCCTGGGTTTATGCCAGTCTCCTGCCTCAGCCTCCCGAGTAGCTGGGACTACAGGCGCCTGCCACCTTGCCCGGCTAGTTTTTTGTATTTTTTAGTAGAGACGGGGTTTCACCGTGTTAGCCAGAATGGTCTCGATCTCCTGACCTTGTGATCCACCCGTCTTGGCCTCCCAAAGTGCTGCGAATACAGGCTTGAGCCACCGCACCTGGCCAAAAAAATTTTTTTTTTATTTTTAAAAATCTTTTTAAAAAGGTTTTAGGCTTAGGGGTACATGTGCAGGTTTGTCATATAGGTAAACTCGTGTCACGGGGGTCTGTTGTACAATTTCATCAGCCAGGTATTAAGCCTAGTACCCAATAGTTGTTTTTTCTGCTCCTCTCCTTCCTCCCAACCTCCACCCTCAAATAGGTCCCAGTATCTATTATTCCCTTTTCTGTGTTCATGAGTTCTCATCATTTAGCTCCCACTTGTAAGTGAGAACATGAGGTATTTGCTTTTCTGTTCCTGCATTAGTTTGCTAAGGATAATAGCCTCTAGCTACATCCGTATTCCTGCAGAAGAGGTGATCTCATTCTTTTTCATGAGTGCGTAGTATTCCATGGTATATATGTAACACGTTTTCTTTCTCCAGTCTGTCATTGATGAGCATTTAGGTTGATTCTATGTCTTTGCTAGTGGCTCACAGGTATTTCAAATGTGTGGGCAGGGCCAGGAGCCACTGATGTAGGGCCTTGTCTACTCAGTTAGGGGTGTGGATGGAGAGTTGTAGAGGGTTGAGGACAGTGAATTGACATGACCTCACCTTTTAAAAAGATCCCATTGGCTGCTGTGTGGAGGGTAGAAAGACAAGAGTGGACAGAGGAAGCTGGTTAGGAGGCTATTGCAATAGTCCAGGCCAGAAAGAGGCCTGTATTTGTTGAGCACCTACTATGGCTAGGCACAAGAGCATATAATGGAAACAGAGGTTACTGGGTCCTCCCTTGGCCAGAATTTCTCAGGGATGTGGGAGCCTAGGAATTTGTATTTTTAACATGCTCCTCTGGTGATTCTGATCATCAGTCAGGTTTGGAACAACTAAATTATTGGACTTAATTTTTCTGGAAATTCTAGAAATCACCATAAATACTGCTTAGGGAGCACTGTCCTTGTTGCTGGCTCCATGTGCCTTCCATATATACCTTCTATCCTTCAACCCTATGCAGTGTATATGATTATTAGCCCTGTTTCTCAGAGGAAGGAACTGAGGCACAGAGAGGAATAACCTGGCCAGGATCACTGAGCTACAAGGTGGCAGAGTCAGGATTTGAACCGGGGTCTGGCTGATTCTGCTATCCTGCCCTTGATATTTACACCTGAATATCAATAC